GCGAGTGGCAGCCACTCGATGTGTTCCTTTCACGTCGATGTTTCTCTCTCTCTCTCTCCCTCCTACTCTATCTGTACAAAAATTGGAAAAATGTCCTCGGGTGAGGATAAAAAAAAAAAAGAAAAGTAAATGGATGGAGCCCTGGCCTGTTTTGCTCAGCGGTTAGAGCATCAGCCCTCGGATCAAAGAGTCTTGGGTTTGATTCTGGCCAAGGGCACGTACCTCAGTTGGGGTTTGGTCCTCGGCCCTGGTTGGGGCCATGCAACCAGGTGATGTCTCTCTCTCTCCCCTTCCCACTCTATCTGAAGATAAATGGAAAAACGTCCTCGAGTGAAGATAAATAAATAAATAAATAAAATAAAAGTAAGTGGATGGAGAAAAATATACCATGCTAACATTATGCTATGTTAGTTTCAAAGAGAACAGGCCCCAAAGCAGAGAAGTTATCAGAGATGAAGAAAAGCTTTACATAATGAGTAAGGGATCAATTTCCTAAGAAGATATAACATTTCTTAATGTGTGTGCACCTATTAACAGTGTCAAACTATGTGAGGCAAAACTGTCATTGTTGGGGACTTCAACACCGTTCTGTCCGAAATGGACATATTAGCAAGGACCTAGCTGAATTCAACACCACCCTCAATGGACTAGATGTAATTGACTTCTATAGACTACTTCATCCAACAACAGCAGAATACACATTCTTCCTGAACACGTGAAACATACACCAAGATAGACCACATTCCAGGCCACAAAACACACCTTAACAGATTTAAAAGAATCGAAACCATACGTCTGCTCTCAGAGCACAGTGGAATTAAACTAGTAATCAGTAACCGATGACTGGACAATCCCTCCACCCAAAATGTGGAGATTAAACATCACGCTTTTAAATAACACATGGGTCAGAGGAGAAATCTCAAGCTCTGGCCAGTGTGGCTCAGTGGGTTCAGTGATGTCTTGTGTACTGAAAGGTCATGGGTTCAATTCTCCATCAGGGTACATCCCAGGTTTTAGGCTCCATCCCTGGTAGGGGTTCGGGCAGGAGGCAACCCATCGATGTTTCTCTCTCACATCAATGTGTGTGTGTGTGTGTGTGTGTGTCTCCCTCTCTTTTCCTCTCTCTTTAAAATCAATAAAAGCATATTTAAAAAAAAAAAAAGATGCCCGGCTGGATGCTAGGTGGTTGAGCATCGACCCATACACCAAGATCTCACTGATTTGATTCCCAGTCAGGGCACATGCCCAGGTTGCGGGTTTTATCCCAGGTTCTTGTGTGTGTGGAAGGCAAGATGTTTCTCTCTCTCCCTCTCCCTCTCCTTTTCTCTCTCTCTAAAAAAAAAAAGCAATTAAAAAAATTTGTGGGATGCAGTGAACACAGGGCTTAGACGAAAATTTGTAGCATAGAATGCATTTATTAAAAAAGAAGATCTAAAATCTATCATCTAAGTTCTCACTTTAGGAAACTAGTAAAAGGAGGCAAATTAAATCCAAAGGGAGCAAGCAAAAGAAGCAAAAAGAAGTAGAGCTGAAATCAGTGAATCTGAAAACAGGAAATCAATAGAGAAAACCAATGGAACCAAAAGCTGATTCTTTGAAAACATAAAAATAAAATCAATTAGCCCCTAGCCCGGGGGGGGGGGGGGAGAGAGAAAGAGAGAGGGAGAGAGAGAGAGAGAGAGAGAGAGAGAGAGAGAGAGAGAGAGAGAACACAAATTACTAACATCAGAAACGAAAGAAGAGACACCACCACTGATCCTACGGACATTAAACATAAATGATGGAGGACAAAGAACAACTCCATGCCCGCATATCTGATAACCACTAAGCAACCCATTCTGAAGTGTTTGCACTTGGATTATTTCATCGATGATCAGAGTTCACCCAGACTCTCTGGCCCCAGACAAGGAAAGTATCTTAGCTGTCGAACCTGTTTTTCAGGTGATTTTAGAATGGACATTTGACCCTGCTTCCAGCCATCAAGGCTCTGAAACACTGAGGTCCGGGCCCAGAGCGGGCCAATCCAGCCAGCAAGGAGGGCATCCTGGTGGTGAGCAAACCTCAGGATGACAGAAGAGCATTCAGAATCCTGGCCATCTCTCCACTGGGCTCCCAGCCCCCGCGGGACTGGCCTGGGCACGTGCTGCCTGGAAGAACTGGTGTCAAGGCTGGGCAGGAAGTTACAACTTCCAGCAGCTGGATTAGCTCTTGTTGAAGGGAGGTGGCGTTATCGGTGCAGGGGAGCGGCAGAGGTCCTGTGCACTGTCCTGGAATCAACTATGCTCATCGGGCAAAGAGCTGCTTTTTGCGTGTGACCTGAGAGGGAGGACTAGCCTGGGTGTGGGCACAATGGTATTGCTGCCAGGGACCCAGTGAGGATAAGCCAGGGTTCAGGGCACAAGAAGAGTGAGAAATCTCTCTTGTCGTGGAAAGCTCTGAGAAAGCTGAGTTGGAATGGGATCCTTCAAGGTCACGGGACCCTTGTGGAAAACACAGGTGAGATGAGCACAAATGCCGGGCCTTCAAGGATGCTTTAATCAGCTGAACTGATGATTAATGGTGCCATGGAAACCCAGCCGGTGTGGCTCAGTGGCTGGGCATCGACCCCCGCACTAAGAGGTCCCTAGTTCGATTCCCAGTGAGGACACATGCCCAGGTTGTGGGCCTGATCCCCAGTGGGGGCATGCAGGAGGCGGCCAATCAATGTTCTCTCTCATCAACGTCTCTCTCTCTCTCCCTCTCCCTTCCTCTCTCTCTAAAATCAATCAAGAAAAATTATTAAAAAAAAATTTTTAAATGCATCATTGGTCACTAATGGTAATGTTTAGAAACGGTGTGTGGCTACTGGTGGAGAGCTAGTTATCCTGAAGCAGGTTCTCACATCCTACACTCACATTCCATCCATAGACGCGGTGTTAGAGCATCAACCTTCCGGGAAAGCCCTCCAGAGCCAACCACCTGAAAGGGACCTAGAATCCTACTTTTGTGTCTACCCACCAAGTCAGTCACGAGGACCCCTCAGAAATCTAGGAGGAGCCCTGGTCGGTGTGGCTTGTTTGGTTGAGCGCCTTCCCCTGCACCAAAAGGTTGTTGGTTCGATTCCCAGTCAGGGTATGTGCCCAGATTGCCCTGGTTGGGGTGCGTGCAGGAGGCAACTGATTGATGTTTTTCTCTGTCTCCCTTCCTCTCTCTAAAATCACTAACACACATGCACACACAGAGAGATAGATAGATAGATAGATAGATAGATAGATAGATAGATAGATAGATAGATAGACAGAGATAGACAGAAAGAAATAGATATATATTTTTTTAATTATAGGATGAGATTCAAGTATCCAGACTCCAAGACTCTTCAGAAGCCAGTGGGCCTGGACGTCCCATGACTTCTCGACACCGGCAGCCCCCGAAGGGAGCACACACTGGACGTCCTAGCAGCCTGGAGGCACGTGGCCCGCACATCAGCATCTCATCGGCAAACTTCAGACGGACGGGCCAGGGCTGCCCAGCAGGAGAGGCGAGGACGCTCCATCAGGAACTTCTTACGGCCCCACTGGGGGGAGACGTGCCCCATCTACGTGTTTTCACTCAAGAAAATCCAGGAGCACATGGTAAAAAGTGAAAAAACTCAAGTGCCTGAACTTTGGAAACAACTGGTTGGTACAGAAAATCTTGTCACACAAGACAGGCAGGGGAAACCATTGGTCATGAGGCATTTTCACCCAAATTACCTCCTCTGAACTACACTTTCTTAGTATATTACTATCCCTTCCCTCCCCCTCTCTCTGAGTCCTGCCTTTTAGACCTGCTTATAGTTTATGTATTAAGATTGATCCGCAAGACCTGGCCGGTTTGGCTCAGCGGTTAGAGCGTCAGCCCGCGGACCAGAGTCCCAGGTTTGGTTCCCACTAAGGGCACGTACCCCAGTTGCAGTTTGTCCTCGGCCCTGGTTGTGGTCGTGTGGGTGGCAACCAGTCAATGTGTCTCTCTCACATCGATGTTTCTCTCTCTCTTCCTCCCTCTTTATCTGAAGATAAATGCAAAAATGTCCTCAGATGAGGATGAAAAAAAATATTACTCCACAATAAAACTCAGGTATACTGCTGCTCCAGGGTCAATTATTCCAGATTCAATGGCATTTTCAAGACCTGGGAATTGGCAAGAAGACAGATGTGAGACCCATGAGAGAATCCAGTATCAGTCGGGGTCCCTGCAGAACACAGGTGAGCTGAGAACCAGCCGCACACACACGCACCCTCGGGGCTTGGTGTACTTCCACTGAGGGGTCCACAGTTACTGGCCAGAACTTTCTATTGGAACAGAAGAGTATCCCATGACAATTTAAGTGGCATCTCTGAATGAGAGGACAAGCCTATCACTGACATACCGAGTGTGTTTGGGGGCAGTGAGGAAGGAAAAACTGGGGGGGGGGGGTAGAAAACATGGGAAGCTCCTCTAAGAACAGTGTGTTCTGTTCCGGCAGGTGGCTTGGGAAGGGCTTATTCAAAGTCGGCAAGTCCCACCCCCTGTCTGACAGCAGCGGCACACTGGGACACTGGGACACGGTCACCCTGGGGTTAACCACTGGAGTCGGTCAGGCTCTGCAGGCGGAAGGACAGTCCCAACCAGACTGCCTTCACTTCCGACACCAGCCACACGTGAGTGGTTTCCGGGCCACCTACACTTCGGCAAAGGCCACAAATCCAGAAGGTTCCCATGATTTCTGAGTCTGAGCTGCTATAACAAAAACACCACAGCCCGGCCGGCGTGGCTCAGTGGTTGAGCGCTGACCCATGCACCAAGAGGTCGCTGGTTCGATTCCTGGTCGGGGCACATGCCCAGGCTGTGGGCCCGATCCCCAGCGGGGGGCATGCAGGAGGCGGCCAGTCGATGTTCTCTCTCATCGATGTTTCTATCTCTCTCACCCTCTCACTTCCTCTCTCTCTAAAATCAATAAAGAGAAAACAAAACCAGAAACACAGACTGCACAGACTGGGTGGTTAAACAACAAACATTTATTCCTCACAGTTCTGAGGCTGGAAGTCCAAGATCCAGGGGCTGGCGGACTCAGTCTCGGAAGGAGCTGTCTTCTTGTGCCCTCACAGGGCAGAGGGCCAGGGGGCTCGTGGGGTCTCTTATAAGGGCTGTACCCTCATGACCTAATCACCTCCAATACCATCACACTGAGGGGTAGGTTTCAACATATGAATTTTGGGGCTACACAAACATCCATTCTGTAGCACATGACCTCCTTCAGGTTCGGGGATGCACTAGAAATCAGAGCTCAGAGAAGCGCTCCACTTATGATTACTGTTTTCCTATAAAGATGCAAACCGAGAGCAGCCAGATGAAGAGACAGAGCGCAGCGTCAGAGGGACCCCATGCGGACCTTCTGCGCCCCTCCCTGTGGCATCGGCGTGCGCCGCCTCCTGGCTCATCGCTGTGTTCCGCAGAGCTTGTGTCCGGAGGCTGTTTTCAGGGATTCCTGCCAAAGGCATAACTGATTGAGTTCCTCTCCAGCCCCTCTTGCGACACAGAGGCCACGCTGGCTCCAGTCCAAACTCTCTGATCTCACGGTTGCTCTTTCTGATAACCAGCCCCCACCCTGGGTCACCTCACCTCCTGGCACAGACTCCGGTCTGACCACGGGGCTAGTGAAGAACAGTCATGACTTCTCCAGGGGAAAGGCCGAGGACTTGGAACCTCCCTTTGGAAACCCGGGGCGAGGGCCAGTCAGACTCTGTATTACAATAGTCCCCTTTTATTGTGGTTTCATTTTCCACCGTTTCAGTGTCTCCTGGTCAGTGGTCGTCCAGAAACAGTAAATGAAAAATTCCAGAAAGAACCAATTCATACATTTTCAACTGCGCGCAGTTCTGAGTAGCGTGGGGAAATCTGTCCCGCTCCATCTACCTGAGTAAGCGAACGTCCCCTGGCCCGGCACCCCCGCCCATCAGGTACTCAGAAGCCTCAGTTACAGGAGAGCGACCCCAGTCACGTGACTTTATTACAGTATATTGTTATAACTGTTCTACTTCATTATTAGTTGTCATTGTTAATCTCCTACTGTACCTAATTTTATAAACTAAATTTTATCATAAGTATGTACATAGAGGAAAAAAACACGGTATCCATACAGTTCAGTACAATCCTTGATTATAAGCCTTCACTGGGGGTCTTGGAACAGATGCCCCATGGAGAAGGGGGATGACCTGACATAACAAACTCAAACCCACAACTCCTACCCCTCTGCAAACAAGGATAAAACCCACCCAGCAGGGCCCATCCTTGACCTCAGCTGTGTTTGGTTTCATTTTTAAATCGTTTTATTTTGAAAATTTTCAAAACATGCATCAGTAGGAAGAATATTTTAAGGAACGGTCATATCCATCACTGTGTCACTGATGACCTGCTTGTGGCTCACTCTTTCATTCCTACCCTGACTCCTTCTCCGTACACCCATGCTCGGATCATCCTGAAGCAAAGCCCAGACGGACATCCTACCGGGCTGAGAATTCTTTATCGAGAACTCTCGTCCAAGGCCAGCTTCTAATGGGCTACCCATCTGCTGAAATCTCAACCCCCGGGAGCAGCTGGGTGGGGCCTGGGCAGCCAGAGGCCCCTGGGCACCTCATTCTCTCACCCCAGCACGGCAGGTAAGTAACATCGTCTGTACACCCCGAGATGCGAGAAAGAACACCAAACACTGTTCTACTACATTCCAAGCTTCTAAGGTGAGTCAGCCAGCTTTAGTCCTCCTATTTCTCACAGGTTTCTAAAGATCCATGTCTACAGCCCTGATTATCTCCTAAAGAATCAACTCTAAAATAAATAGGCTCAAGAAACAATAGCTCAGATACTTCTAATTAATTAAAATCAATGGAGGGCAGCATAAGGTAAGAGATAACATCGCAGTTGTAGATCACAAGTCCATTTCTGAGTCATGAAAGAGAAACCAGCCAACCAGTCTTCAATAGTACAAAAACTTCACCCTGACCTTTGCTACCATGCCAGTGACTGAGACAGTCCCTGATACCCAGGTCTGCGATGATATTTTTGTTGGTTTCTGGGAATTTCTGACACTTCCCCAGGGTACCAGGGGGCAGGCAAGAGGCATCTCCTCAATGATAGGTTGGCAAGAACGGTAAGCAAAGTCATCCATATCTCCCCATTTGACTTATTCTGCAAAGTGAGGAGTCGGATGAATGCAAAGTTTCCTCCAACCCTAGGGCTCCAGGGTTAGGCAGCAGCCCTACAAGGCAAGGGAATGTAAGGTTCGAGAGAGCAAGGGTGTGCGCCTCCGTTTACATCTCCAACGCACCTTGCACAGAGCTGGGGTTACCTACTTGCCTCTCTTCTGAACAGAGGGGCTCATGCTCCCCTCTCCTGAGCTGCTGATTGCCAGGGAAGCACCCTCTTGTTGCCCCCTTTTCTGCAGAGAAGAGCCGCAGTAGGACCCTGGGGCTCATCTTTGGCATTCTCCTCGAAGCCCAGCTCTTTCCCAAGGATGACTTGGCTTCAGACAAGGCTACTTTTTCAGGTCAATGAAGATGCTTTGGGCCATCTCCAAAAGCAGAGAAGAATCACCAAAGAACTTTTCTTCCTGGTAGCAAGGGAAGAAAACATTTAATAAACACATGTCAACCACTGCAGGGAGGTCTTCCCTACGAAGATGACCTCTCTCCCAGGGAAGTGGAAGTCCTTGCTGGGAGTTGACACCAATCAACGCATCTGGGACACCGAGTCTCTGAGCCTGACTAGTGTCCTGGAATTCCAGCACTAGGAATCCAGAGATGCCTCAAAGTTCTCAAATATCCCCAAGTCCCCAGCAGTGACCGTTTTCATACCACAAAGAGCTCCTCTCTTGGGCAAACCCAGAGCAGGACTTATTTCACACGAGAGGTGAAATTTCTTCCACTTACATCCTGCCATCAGGATACAGAGAGCTCGGGAATTCCGGCCATCCATTTGCCGCCGCCCCTTCGTGGACCGGGGTTATTTTCACTGCCCAGAACACTGCAGGGAAAACAGTCCCTTGTGCTCGAGTCCTGTAGCTTGTCCGCTCGCCGATCCCTAATGTCTTCCTGGGCCCTAGTCTGGTCAATTCCATCTGGAATTGGCTCAAACAAAGAAGACAGCAAAAGGGGCGAGGGCCAGTGACAGGCCTCTGACTCATGCAAGAGCCTGCGGTGGTCAGCCGCCTGTGGCTGGGCTCTTTCCCGTGGGACCTACTAGGTGCTTTTGGCTGTAGGTGACCTAGTATGGTCCCTGAGGCTGCCTCACCCAACCTGTCGTGTGATCGCAGGCTTCAGATGTGGGGCTTAGCCATCCTCTCAACTTTCTGGCCACACTGGCGTCTACTCCAACCAGTCCAGTATCCCACAATCCTGGGGAGAGGCAGCTATCACTGAGTTACCAATAAGAAGGCAAGATACTCTAACAAGAGCAAAGCCACCACCCTACTGGCAACTAGGTCAGGATTCCTTGCTCCATGGAATGCCTCGCCCCAAAGCCAGGGCTGCGGAAAGAAGGCATCCAGCAAGGTTTGTGGCTGCAGCCAGGAGATGCCTTTCATACTACTTGGGAACAGGAGAGGTTTCCTTTCACAGGGGACCTGGATCACCTAGACCCTGCATCAGAAATCCGACATAGGCTGATTCAGATCATGGTCTGAAGTCTGAAGGAAACGTTGGATACCCGGCCGGTGTGGCTCAGTGGCTGAGCATCGACCCATGCACTAAGAGGCCACCAGTCTGATTCCTGGTTAAGGCACATGCCCAATTTGTGGGCCAAATCCCCAGTAGGGGGCATGCAGGAGGCAGCCAATCGATGTTCTCTCATCAATGTTTCTCTCTCTCTCCCCCTCTCCCTTCCTCTTTCTCTAAAATCAATAAAGAAAAAAAGAAAGGAAAAAAGAAAACATTGGATTAAACATTTAAACAATATCAATAGGGCCCTGGCTGGTGTGGCTCCAGAGAGTCAGCAGGCACACCAAAGGGTCATGGGTTCGATTCACGGTTAAGGGCACATCCCTGAGTTGCAGGTTTGATTCCCAGCCTGGTCAGGAGTGCATGCTGGAGGCAACCAATGAATGTGTCTCTCTCACATCAATGTTTCACTCTCTCTCTCCCCACACCTCACTCTCTGTAAAAAATCAATGGAAAAAATATCCTCAAGTGAGGATTAACAACAAAATATCTCAATGGGGTGATGAGGACAGAAAGATGAGGCTATTTTCCAGTGGAGGATGAGGACCCAATTTTTTGGAAAACTCTGGTCTGGGTGGAGACCTGCCTTGGATGGCTTCCCTCAAGCACAGAAAATAACCAGGAATCTGAGTATTCATCCTGAGTCCTCACAGGTGGATACTGGTGGGGAGGGAGGGTGAATAATACTGAAATTGAACAACTTGGAATTTTTTTTCCATCTATAGCAGCGGTTTTAACAGGTGTGCTGCAAGAATTTTTAAAACATGCAATACCTGCCCTGGCCAGTGTGGCGCAGTGGTTGGGCATCATCCCATGCACCAAGAGGTACCAGGTCCATTCTCAGTTGGGGCACATGCCTGGGTTGTGGGCTAGATCCCCAGTAGGGGGCGTGCAGGAGGCAATCAATCAATGTTTCACTCTCTCAAATCAATAAAAACATATTTTTAATTAAACAAAAAACAAGCAATATTTGACTATTTAGCCAGGGGCACTGACCTCTTTTCCCTTAGACTGTCAAATTAAAAAATGACAACAGCCAACACAACAATAACCGTTTGGTATGAATGAATCAAAATTATACTTTTTTTTTTATCAGATCAGCAAAAAATATATTTTTTGGTGTGCTGTAGAATTTCAGCAATTAGTTCTTGTGTGCCATGAGATGAAAAAAAACATTTTTTTAAATTTTTTTTATCCTCACCCGAGGGCATTTTTTCCATTTTTTTGTTCAGATAGAGAGGGAGAGAGAGAGAGAGAAACATCGACGTGAAAGGCACACATCGAGTGGCTGCCACCCACACGACCCAACCAGGGCCAGGTACAAACCGCAACCTAGGTACGTGCCCTTAGCGGGAACTGAACCCGGGTCTCTCTGAACTGCAGGCCGACGTTCTAACCGCTGAGCCAAACCGGCCAGGGCGAGAGGAAAAATTGTGAAAGTCGCTGCTCTCTAGAGTTGAATAGCCCTCTAGAGAGTAATCCAAACCCCGCGATCTGAAGGGAGCACGGACACCCGCCGAGGGGCCTGGGAAGGCACCTGCAATATCTAGCAATGTTCTCCAAGAGGAAAGGGGCAGTAATGACGTTACCCACAGAGCCCTGCCAGGCACCCGGCAGCCTGGGTCTCTAGCAGAACAAGGGGAGGGGGCTATCCTGCCTCCATGGGCAAAAGGAGGCAGAAACGCTTCCTTGCCTAAAACACCTTTCCCTGGCCAAATCCCTCCCCTATCCCATCTCCCCGCCCTCTCACCTTCCATCACCCCCACCCCGCCGTCCTGTCAGCCCCGGGACTCTCGGGGAAGCTCTCTGAGAGCCCCCCTTCAGCATTTTCCCTGGAGTCCAGGCACTCCGCAGGCAGTCGGCCACAGTGGCCGTGGCTGACTACTTGGTGGAGCAGATGGAGATGGTGGCACCTGCAGAGAACACCCAGAAGGCCGGGTACAGAGCTTCGGTAAAGTCCTCCTTGTACTTATACATCACGTGGACCTTCTCGGCAGTAACCGCAAAGAAAATAACGAAGCCGTGGTCACAGTTGAGAAGCACACCAACCCGTGTGGCCTTCGTCGGGGGCAGGGTTTTCTCCACATTGTTGTGCCAGCAGGAGATCTTGGTGTTGAACCACTCCACACACCAGGAGGCGCTGTTGCGGCCCAGCCGGCTCTCGGGGCCCTGCCGCGCCATGCTGCCATAGCAGATGCCCATCCCACAAAAGTTGTTCTTCTGCAGCTCCACCTCCCAGTAGTGGATCCCTTTCTTGTAGCAGTGCAAGCCCAGCACCTGAGAACAGTATGTGAACCTCTGGGGATGCGGCCGGTAGTTCTGGTGTGTGTCAGCCACAGAGGCTACAGTGTAGTTTTCCGACAGGGCCACCTTGCTGTAGGCAGTGTTGTAGTCCAGGATGACCTTCACAGCATCTAAAAAAGCATTAGCCCAAGTAATCAATTATAAGGAGTCCAAGGAGCTCACTTTAAAACCTTTCCTCAACTGGTAGCATTATTCATTTGTTTTATCCATCCCCCTCTCCATCCATCTACCCATCTATCCATTTATTTACCCATGCATCCATCCATCTATCCATCCATCCATTCATCAGTCCATCTTCCTTCCATCCATCCATCTGTCCATCCATCCATGCATCCCTCCACATAGCCACCCATCCAGCCATGCATCCATCTATCCATCGATTCATCCATCCATCCATCAGTTCATCCTTCCTTCCATCCATACACCTATCTATTCATCCATCTATAACTGAGGTCTCACTGAGAACCCAAAGTTCCAGAGAGAGCAAGAGGGGTCAGACTGAGTCCTGGCCGAGGACCTGGCCTTGGGGAAGCACACGGAAAAGGAGAGGGTAGAGATTCAAGTGAGATGACGACGAGAATGCGGGAGCCCCTTCTGGAGCGCCTCTCTTCTCTGTAACGCAGGAGAGGTGGGGTGGGACGGGGCAGACGAGCAGGGAAAGGCTTGGGACAGCAGGGAGTCCGAAGGAAAACCAGAGCGAGAGCCGGCAGTGGGGCCGGTGGTGTCTTGGCAACAGCCGCTGCCTGCAGGTGCTACTCACACTCTAGGAGCTCTGGTCTGGACTTGGCCAAGAAGTTCTCCAGCACCTTGGCCTTGAGAGACGCCGAGTTCGGCTTCGTGGTGGTGGCTTTGGCTGCAGCTGGGTGAGCAAACAGCCATCTTCAGAACAAACTCAGAGTGGACACCCCGCTGCCCCTTGCCCACAATAACTCACCCTCTGAGAGAGCTTGTTCTAAATCCGATAACTTTTCCAGTTCCTCAGAGGCGGAGAACTTGTTGGATGAGACAGCAGTGGCTAGGGACGAAGAAGGAACATGTGTTGGAGACACAACACAGAGTGACCTCTACTCCTTTCCAAGCTGATTTTCAAGAGTTATTTCTACAGACACACACCTGGACAGCCAGGGCAACACAGGTGAGTCCAGACAGGGCTACGCTCATCTGATTCGTTTACACCTGTCCTCCCCTCCAACCTCAGGCCTGCCGGCTACTACAGAATGCAGCCCGAGAGCTGAGGCCCCATCGCCGAACCCCGATGGGGCAGCGCGGCCCTCACGCCAGCACTTAGTTCTGTGCTCAGGAAGTCACAAGAAACAATCAGGAAAGGGATGTCTAACTTACCAGGTTTCTTGGATTTCTTTTCTTCTTCTGAAAAAAAAAAAAAAATCCACAATTAAAACATTGCAAAGCACAACACAATGACACTTTCAACACAATGACATACTAACATTTACTGGCATGAATGTGACCCATACCAATAAAAATAGGATGCTTTGCCCGGCCGATGTGGTTCAGAGGTTGAGGGTCGACCCACGCACCAAGAGGTCGCCAGTTCGATTCCCAGTCAGGGCACATGCCCAGATTGTGGGCCAGATCCCCAATGGGGGGCATGCAGGAGGCGGCCAATCAATGTTCTCTCATCGACGTTTCTATCTCTCCCTCTCCCTTCCTCTCTCTCTAAAATCAATAAAGAAAAAAATTTTTTAAATCTCTTTTTATGTAAAAAAGTACAGTATATAAACATATACACCATATATCTGTGATATTAAAATTTCATCAGTGCGCTCTGGCTGGTTTGGCTCAATGGTTGGAGCGTCAGCCTGCGGACCAGAGAGTCCCGGGTTCGGTTCTTGCTAGGGGCACATCCCAAAATAATAATAATAATAATAATAATAAAATTTCATCGGTGGGAGCAATTAGGAAAAACATTTCCTACCGGGCTGGGTGAGGGGAGAGCAGGGCAATCATGAAGAGGTGGGGAAGCGCCGGGACGGCTCAAGGCCACCTCTGAGAAGGGTTAGCCTCTGCTCCTCTGGGACCTTGCCCTCTCCCCCAGGGGGTTCCGCCCAAGTGTCAGAACGGTGTCAGTACATATTTACCAAGACAAGCCAGCTTTGGGAATCCTGCTGTTGCAGGCAGCTCGAGTGTCTAATCCTACTGTTCCAGGCAGCTCGAGTGTCTAATCCTACTGTTCCAGGCAGCTCGAGTGTCTAATCCTGCTGTTCAGGCAGCTCGAGTGTCTAATCCTGCTGTTCCAGGCAGCTCGAGTGTCTAATCCTACTGTTCCAGGCAGCTCGAGTGTCTAATCCTGCTGCTGCAGGCAGCTCGAGTGTCTAATCCTGCTGCTCCAGGCAGCTCGAGTGTCTAATCCTGCTGTTCCAGGCAGCTCGAGTGTCTAATCCTGCTGCTCCAGGCAGCTCGAGTGTCTAATCCTGCTGTTCCAGGCAGCTCGAGTGTCTAATCCTACTGTTCCAGGCAGCTCGAGTGTCTAATCCTGCTGTTCAGGCAGCTCGAGTGTCTAATCCTACTGTTCCAGGCAGCTCGAGTGTCTAATCCTGCTGTTGCAGGCAGCTCGAGTGTCTAATCCTGCCGCTCCAGGCAGCTCGAGTGTCTAATCCTGCCGCTGCAGGCAGCTCGAGTGTCTAATCCTGCTGCTGCAGGCAGCTCGAGTGTCTAATCCTGCCGCTCCAGGCAGCTCGAGTGTCTACTCCTGCTGTTCCAGGCAGCTCGAGTGTCTAATCCTGCTGTTCCAGGCAGCTCGAGTGTCTACTCCTGCTGTTCCAGGCAGCTCGAGTGTCTAATCCTGCCGCTGCAGGCAGCTCGAGTGTCTACTCCTGCTGTTCCAGGCAGCTCGAGTGTCTAATCCTGCCGTTGCAGGCAGCTCGAGTGTCTAATCCTGCCGTTGCAGGCAGCTCGAGTGTCTAATCCTGCCGCTGCAGGCAGCTCGAGTGTCTAATCCTGCCGCTCCAGGCAGCTCGAGTGTCTAATCCTGCCGTTGCAGGCAGCTCGAGTGTCTAATCCTGCCGCTCCAGGCAGCTCGAGTGTCTACTCCTGCTGTTGCAGGCAGCTCGAGTGTCTAATCCTGCCGTTGCAGGCAGCTCGAGTGTCTAATCCTGCCGCTGCAGGCAGCTCGAGTGTCTAATCCTGCCGTTGCAGGCAGCTCGAGTGTCTAATCCTGCCGCTGCAGGCAGCTCGAGTGTCTAATCCTGCTGTTCCAGGCAGCTCGAGTGTCTAATCCTGCTGCTCCAGGCAGCTAGAGTGTCTAATCCTGCCGCTGCAGGCAGCTCGAGTGTCTAATCCTGCTGTTCCAGGCAGCTCGAGTGTCTAATCCTGCCGCTGCAGGCAGCTCGAGTGTCTAATCCTGCTGTTCCAGGCAGCTCGAGTGTCTAATCCTGCTGTTCCAGGCAGCTCGAGTGTCTAATCCTGCTGCTGCAGGCAGCTCGAGTGTCTAATCCTACTGTTCCAGGCAGCTCGAGTGTCTAATCCTACTGTTCCAGGCAGCTCGAGTGTCTAATCCTGCCGTTGCAGGCAGCTCGAGTGTCTAATCCTACTGTTCCAGGCAGCTCGAGTGTCTAATCCTGCCGCTCCAGGCAGCTCGAGTGTCTAATCCTACTGTTCCAGGCAGCTCGAGTGTCTAATCCTGCCGCTCCAGGCAGCTCGAGTGTCTAATCCTACTGTTCCAGGCAGCTCGAGTGTCTACTCCTGCTGTTGCAGGCAGCTCGAGTGTCTAATCCTACTGTTCCAGGCAGCTCGAGTGTCTAATCCTACTGTTCCAGGCAGCTCGAGTGTCTAATCCTGCCGCTGCAGGCAGCTCGAGTGTCTAATCCTGCCGTTGCAGGCAGCTCGAGTGTCTAATCCTGCCGCTCCAGGCAGCTCGAGTGTCTAATCCTGCTGTTCCAGGCAGCTCGAGTGTCTAATCCTGCCGCTCCAGGCAGCTCGAGTGTCTAATCCTGCCGCTGCAGGCAGCTCGAGTGTCTAATCCTGCTGCTCCAGGCAGCTCGAGTGTCTAATCCTGCTGTTCCAGGCAGCTCGAGTGTCTAATCCTGCTGCTCCAGGCAGCTCGAGTGTCTAATCCTGCTGTTCCAGGCAGCTCGAGTGTCTAATCCTGCTGCTCCAGGCAGCTCGAACGTCTAATCCTGCTGTTCCAGGCAGCTCGAGTGTCTAATCCTGCTGCTGCAGGCAGCTCGAGTGTCTAATCCTGCTGCTCCAGGCAGCTCGAGTGTCTAATCCTGCTGTTCCAGGCAGCTCGAGTGTCTAATCCTGCTGTTCCAGGCAGCTCGAGTGTCTAATCCTGCTGTTCCAGGCAGCTCAAATACCTAACGCTCGTGGGCCAGATAGCACAGGTACCCAGCAGAGCTCCTGCCACAGTCCCTTCAACTTCCACTCAAGCCCTGCAGTGACTTGGGAGGGTCTGTGCCCATCTGGAGGAGCGGCGACACCTGCAAGATTCTCTGCTGGAGCCCCGGGTCAGCCACAGCCACGCTGCTTCCATAGGGACACGGGACTACTTACTCACGACCTTCTTCCCAGGGCGTGGGAGTTTCAGCGTGGGCGCCTTGACATACTCTGCAGAGTCCCCTGTGCCAAGGAAGAAGGTGTTCATTTATGTGCCTCCTCCAAACCACCCCAAGAGCCAGCTTTGCCACAGGCGGGCAGGCAGTGGGTTTACGAAGATAGCCATGTGCACGTCCCACCCACTCTCGCCATCCCCTCCTTTACTGACTAGAACCGACTCATGGGAGGACCAGTTTGGGGGTTCCCTCTTTTCTCTGGCCTACAACATAGCTGGGGCCGAGTCTTTTCCCGCCAGTACCCAGCTCTGACTTCCACCTTCTCTGCGCTTTCTTCCAGCGCACCACAGGGATGCGGCTCCTGCTCGTGGTGAGAGATGCCTGGGAGCTCCTCCCCTCCGCGTTTCCTCTCACCCCTCCCTGTCCCACCGACCAGAGAGCACTGAGGTCACAGGGTGGCAAGTTCATCAACAGCTTTACCCTCCTCCACGGGGCCCTCCTCCACTTTGCCTTCTGCAAAGATCTGGCTTGCCACGCTGAAACTCAAGCCCACCCCCTGGGTTCCACAGCAGAGACTCACTGAGCCCGGCTCTGGGCCAGGCGCTGGGGAGAGAGGTGGATGGAAACCAGACCCAGCCCCGCCCTCCCAGAGATCATGATCCGGAAGGGAGAAGCCGGGAATGGCAAGAGCCAGATGCCAGAGGGCAAAGGGCCGCGCGATGACGAGGATCCTGGGACCTGGTCCGAGGAATGGGAGTGGTGCTGGGAAGGCTGCTGAGACTGTGCTGCTTTGACTGATCTTCGAAGAGTAGGGGGTGTTAACTGGTGAGGACGGTGGATTCTGAGGCTTCCAGGCAGTGGAAAGAGCATGTACAAAGGCCCAGTGGCAGGAGGCTTAGCATAGTTGAAGAACTGAACACAGAGAGATGCGCTGGAGGAGGGGACACTTCAGGGCTGGAGAAACAGGGCCTGACCAGGCAGGGGCTTGTAGGCCAGGGTCAAGGGTCCAGTCTGTAATCTAAAAGCAACGGAAACCCCCTGAAGAGGGTGAGGGGAAAGGCCCCCGGACATCAGATCTGCCTCCTGGAAAGCTCTCGCTGGGCACGGCAGGATGAGCGCAGAGGGACCGTGCAGGACGCTGCCGCAGCCCATGGCAACGGAGGTCAGGCGGTGGTGGCCGGAATGGGAGCAGTGGACTGAGTCAGGAGATATGTGGATACGGGGGGAAGGAAAAGGGGGCGTCTAGGAGGAATTCCAGGTTTCTCTGACCCTCAAACTAGCCATTCCTCCACCAAATACACTGACAACCCAGAGTCCATTCAAAACCCATCTGAGTCAGCCTCAAGATCACAGACCAAAAGGGGCTGCCCAGCAACTCCCATCATAACATCAAGCTCCCAAAATGTTTTAGGATGAAGCAGACTCCCCAGTACCTCCTAATGGAGGGTAGATGTGCCAGGACCCCTGCAACTAAGTCCCAATGCTTGCGATCAAGACCCTCTCTTGCAGCCCAAAATGCTGAGGGGACCCATCCAGCTTCAGGGGTCCCAGTGGGGCATGGTGAGGGTGGGCTGCTGCCGGTCACCTGGGTCAGCGGGCTCCTCGGGCTTCTTCTCCTGGGACTGCCTGAGGCACCGCTTCAGCTCGTGTTTGAGGTCCGCAGCGCCCTGGCAGACGCCCTTTACCAGCTCGTGGTTCAGCTCCACCTTGGGGACGTAGACTGGCTTCGTTGAGACCGCTTGCAGTTTTGCCGCTTTCTGGAACAAGCCAGGGGGTCAGTGCAGAGGCTCCAGGACGTAAGGGCCTGGCTCGGGCCTTATGAACCCCGGAGGAGTTTCCCTGTGCCCGCAGGTGGGAAGTCCAACCAGCCTTCGCAAATTACAGGCCAGAGGCCACTGGGGATTCAAGGGTCACTTTTCAGACAGCGATCTGGAAATGGAAGGACCCTCAGAGGTTGCCCCCCTGACAGATGGGGAAACTGAAGTCTAGAAATGACAAGTGACCAGGTCTCCTGACCCCATAGATAATGCTCTCCCCACTCCCCCGGCTGTGGCTGAAGTACAGGAGGCACAGGACCAGCCCTGAACACATGTCCTAGACACAGACGGGGAAGTCTCAAGGCTGAGGACTCAGCCAGGGCACACTGAGGAAAAGGAAGGGCCTGGCCCGGGCTGGTGTGGCTCAGTTGGTTGGAGCATCGTCCCGAGCACTGAAAGGTTGTGGGTTCAATCCCCAGTAAGGGTGTGTACAACACACAACTAATCAATGTTTCTCTCTTACATCGATGTTTTTCTCTCTCTCAGTCCGTCTCTCTAAAATCAATTTTTTAAATTCAGCAATATTAATTTTTTTAAAGGGTCTTATGGAATGTCCCAAACTTTGAGACAAAAATCAGGGCACACAGTACCAAGAGGCCCAGACGTGGACTCAGAGCCTTCTCGGAGAGCTCAAGGCAGCTACTCCAACAAGCTGGGATGCGCAGGTGAGAAGGAAATTACTGCCATCCAGCCTAGGAGGGACCGGTCACTCCTGCACCCTCCCAGGGACCTGAACAAGGAATCTGGGCCTTTGAGGGGTCACAGCACGTCACCCAGTCAATGGGCGCACCAGACACCCAGTGCGTGCCAGGCACTCTGCCAGGCGCTGGACATGCCAGGAAGTAGGGTTGGTAGTAAAGGAAGGGCCACACCCGAAAGGAGCTGACAGCCTAAACAGGCATGGAAACAAACACATCGAGAACAACGTCGTCAAGAGCGTTAGCAGAGGTGGCAGAATGTGCTCTGGATTCCCGGTGATGGTGAAATAAAGGGGTCAAGGAGCGTGGAAGAAACTAGAGTTGTCCTGGCAAGAAGAGGATTCAGCAGGCAGAGAAGGTCAGCATGGCATTCCCATCCAGTGCCCGGTGTGTCTGGAGAAGGTGAGTGTCCTGCTGCGATCAGAGCAAGAAGCATGGACTGGGGTGGTGGCAAGACATGAGGCTGCTGGCAAAGGCAGGGCCTGGTCCTCAAGGGCCTGTGGGCCACGAAGTCAGAAAGGGTGGCTGGGCTCTGCTTTAGAAAGACGTTTCTAGGGCCATGTGGAGGGATGGGGGAAAGAGAGCAGAGGTGTATGCCGCAGGCCAATTCTAAGATGGATCCCAAGACTCCCACCCCCTCCCCAGGGTACACACCCTACATGGTCCCCTCCCTTGAGAACCAGTAGGATGGTGAACATGAGAGGATGTCACTCCAGTGATTAGATTACATTAGATGGCAAAATTGAATACATTTTTCAGACGTAATTAAGATCCCAAATCCGTTGAGTTTTTGTTTTTGTTAATCCCCACCCAAGGACATTTTTTCCATTGATTTTTAGAGAGTGGAAGGGAGGGAAAGAGACACACACATTGATCAGTTGCTTCCCACACCCCAACCAGGGCTGAGGATCGAACCTGCAACCCAGGTATGTGCCCCTGACCAGGAATCAAACTACAACCCTTTGGTCCATAGGCCAATGCTCCGACCACTGAACCAAATTGGCCAGGAGTGATGGTTTTTTTTAATATGTTTTTTCTGATTTTTTAGAGAGGAAGGGAGCGATAGAAACATCAATGTGAGAGAGAAACATCAATCGGCTGCCTCCTGTACACCCATACTGGGGATTGAGCCTGAAACCCAGGTATGTGCCCTGACCAGGAATGGAACCAGTGACCTTTCGGTGCACAGGACGACACTCAATCCACTAAGCCACGTTGGGTGGGCTAGGGCCCAAATCTTGATTTTGGGTTCATCAAAAAGATGAGTCTCGCCCCGGCCAGTTTGTCTCAGCAGTTAGAGCGTCAGCCCGCAGACCAAATTGTCATGGGTTCTATTCCAGTCAAGGGCACATACCTCGGTTGCGGTTCGTCCCCGACCCTGGTAGAGGTTGTACGGGAGGTAACCAGTCGATGTGTCTCTCTCACATTGATATTTCTCCCTCTCTCTTTCTCTATCTCTCTCCCTCCTGCTTTATCTGAAGATAAATGGGGCAAAAAATATCCTAGGGTGAGGATTAAAAAAAAAAATGAGTCTCCTGGGTGGGCCAGACTTAATCAGGTAAAAGCCTGAAAAGAGGGACCGGGTCTCCCTGGAGAGAGAAATTCCCCTGCTGATTCCAAAGAAGTAAGCTGCCAAGTTGGAAGAGGACCAGGTGGCAAGGAACTGTGGCAGCCTCTAGGAACTGTGAGTGCACAGCCAGCAAGAAAGCAGGGCCCTTGGTCCTGTACAGTAAGCAACCGGATTTTACCAACAACCAAGTAAGCCTGCTTGTTGGTAAACACAATCTGAGCTCCAAAAGGAATGTGGCCCTGCCAACACTCAGAGGACAGCCTGTAAGAGACCCTAAGAAGACAACCTCCAAAGCCATGCCCACACTGCTGAGCCACAGACAGTGTGAGATAGTAAATGTATGTTCTAAGCCACTATGTTTGTGGTAAGTTGTCACACAGCATAAAAAACTAATACAGTGCCCTGGCTGGTTTGGCTTAGTGGTTAGAGCATTGGCCCACAGACCAGAGAGTCCCAGGTTCGGTTCCCACTAAGGGCACGTACCTCGGTTGCAGTTTGTCCCCGGCCCCTGTTGGGGTTGTGTGGGTGGCAACCAGTCGGTGTGTCCCTCTCACATTAATGTTGCTCTCTCTTTCTTCCTCCTGCTCTGTCTGAAGATGAATGCAAAAATGTCCTAGGGTGAGGATATAAAAAAACAAAACTAATACAGCATGTGTCTCAGGGATGCTTTCAGTGACCTCTCAGATTCCACTCCCTGAGGTCCCACTGCCCCCACAATCAACATCGCCACTCTAGGCAAGAAGACTGTTCAACAATGTCCTCATCGAGACCCACCTCCAGAAACTCAAACTCGCCCCCCTGAGTCAGGGCAACTTCAATCTCCTCCTTCATGGTCTGGATCTCACTCTTCTTCTTGAGGAGGATCTGGTAAATAGTGTCGAACTTGCTGCTGACCCTTTTCTCCTCTTCCTTTATCTTGCGTGTGGAGCTGGCTTCCGAGGCGTCGATGAGAGCCTTCATTTCCAAGTATTCTTGTCTAAGCTGTTCCAGCTTCCTTTGTGCAGCCTCCTAAGAAGCCAAGACAAAAGAGCATCAATCAGACTGGCACAAAGCTACGCCCATGGGACCAAGAGCTGGAGAGATGTCGAACACGAAGGGGCAGGGCTGCGCTGGGGGCCATTTGACAATGTCTAGCGGATCTGAAGGCAACCCAACAACTCAACTCAAGGAATACACTCTAGAAAAATCCACGGACACCTGCCCCAGAGACGCACACAAGAACATTCACAAGCAGCACTGTTTGAATTAGCAAAACCCTGGAGGCAGGAGACTGAATGTCCAGTCTGAATATTCATAGGGTGGAATATCAAACAATAGTAAAAATTAATGAACTGGGGCAATGCACGGATAAACTCCATGAGGGAAAAACAACTTGTAGAAGAAGACACACAGCATGGGTGCTCTTTATGTAAAGCTTAGAAACAAACAGGATGGTCGTACTGATTGCCAAAGGGATGCACACATGCGTGATGGCGGTATAAAGAAACCCATGGAAACAGATGAATAAAGGCAGGACCATGGTCACCTCTGGAAGAGAGAAGGGGATATAAAAGGGAGGGGGGCAGAGTGAGGGCTTCAATTGCACTGGTGATATTTTTCTTTCTTAAGCTGGGAAGTAGCTCATGGGTAATTTTTTTTCCTAAAGAGAGGATATGAAGCTGCTCTAGAAAATTTCTAGAGACGACCAGCCTCGGGAACTGCACTGGACTCGCTGCACATGGCGACAGAGCGCGCGGAACGAGGCTCGGCCACATTCAGATGTGCTGTGAGTGCAAAACGCACTTTGGCTTCCACACAGTCCAAAAAAAAAACTGTGAAATAGCTCAGTAATCCATTCCATGGGTTCTATGTTGAAATAATCATTTTGGGGTGTTCTGAGTCAAATAAAATGTATTATTAAAATTCATGTCATATGTTGTGCAGATTAATTTAAAGTTGCAAATAAGGCTCACGGTGTATTTCTATTGCACAGCACTGCTCTAGCTCAAAATCAATACGACAGACAAAAATATATACATGGGCCCAGCCAGTATGGCTCAGTGGTTGAGCGTCAACCTGTGCACCAAGAGGTCGCTGGTTCGATTCCCAGTCAGGGTACATGCCCTGGTTGTGGGCCCCATCCCCAGTGAGGGGCATGCAGGAGGCAGCCAACAGATGTTCTCTCTCATCGATGTTTCTATCCCTCTCTCCCTCTCCCTTCCTCTCTCTTTAAAATCAATAAAGGAAAAAAAAAAAAAAAGAAATATATACATGAGGGGCAGTACACAGGAAGACTGAAATTCAGCTATTTCTGTACCCAACTACTTATCCTGCCTTCGCCAGTGTGACTACCAATGGCCCCAGTGTTCATTCTCAGTAAGAAAGCACCCCTGGAGTCTCAGATGGACACATGTCTGCACAGCCACAGACTACACTTCCCAGCCTCCCTGTGGTTAGGCTTGGTCATGTGACTCAGCTGCTCCTAAGGCAGCATGAGCAGAAGTCATATGGGCCACTCTTCTTCCTTATTGCCCTTCTCGCAGGCTAGAACAGAGATGGAACAGTGACTCAGTTTCAACTAAACAGATGTGGAAAACGCCCTAAGGAGCTGTGAGGCAATATGAAGGAAAGACTGCAAGTCCCTGAATAATCACGTGGAGCAGAGACTCTAAGGCTCACAGATCTGCCGACAGGACCAACTTATCACAGGCTCCTATGCAACCGTGCTGGTGTTCTTACCCAGATCTCGTCTCATTAAGCCACAGCTGCCACAAGATGCTGCAGCTCCAGAACAGGGTATTTAACAATCAAATCCTCTTTCGACATAAATGCAACGCAACCTTATAAAAATTGTGGAAACTAGGGACAAAAAACCATCCCTAATGCTACCACTCTAATTCTTGCACTACTACCCTCTTCCTATACTTCCTACTTAAAAAAATTCTTTACAGATGTAATTAAGGTAGGACTCTTGAGGTGAGGTCATCCTGGATTAGCCAGGTATGTCCTAAGTCCAATGACAAATGTCCTTGTTAGAGAAAGAGAGAAGCCCTGGCCGGTTTGGCTCAGCGGTTGGAGCGTCGGCCTGCGGTCCGGAGAGACCCGGGTTCAGTTCCCACTAAGGGCACGCACTTCAGTTGCAGTTTGTCCCCGGCCCTGGTTGGTCGTGCGGGTGGCAGCCACTCGATGTGTCCCTTTCACATCGATGTTTCTCTCTCTCTCTCCCCCTCCCACTCTATCTGTACAAAAAATGGAAAAATGTCCTCACCTGAGGACTAAAAAGAAAGAGAGAAGCCACCAAGGGAGGAAGAGGCCATGTGAAGACAGAGGCAGAGATTGGAATGATGCAGCCACAAGCCTAGGAGTGCCTGAGCCACCAAAAGCTGGAAGAGGCTGGGAGGATTCTTCCCTAGAGCCTTCGGAGGGTGTGTGGCCTGCTGACACATGGATTAGGAACGTCCAGCCTCCAGGACTGTGAGAGCACGTTTCTGTAGGTGTCAGCCAAGTTTGTTACCATGTGTTACGGTAGCTCTCAAAAACAAATGCACTTCCTTTTTACGAAGAGATCAACTCCAGTGGGTTTACCCTTTTGCTCCCCGTTTTTCTCCCACTTGTATCATAATCACTATCTAATTTACTACCTTTCAACACTAATTTTTCATGACTTCCCCAAGGTTGGGCTTGTAGCTAGTCTTTGGTTTATGTCTATGAAGGCTTCCTCCTGGGCACATAGCTTCTCCCGTGTTTTACAAGGTTGACATTTAACTCTGACACTGTGAAGGAACCCACCATGACCTCGTGGAGGTCACACATGAGCCTGTCCTGCCTGGAGGGGAGGAGGCGCCAGGGCTGGTGGAGGAGAGGCCTGTCACTCACCCGCACATCCTGCTGCCTGGCTCTCACATCCTCCAGCGCTCTCGATGCACCGTTGATCTGACCGTACATGACTGTCAGTTTATGCTTCAGTTTGGCCTGCCGAGAAAACAAACCAGGTGAGAGAACACCTTCCCCCGGCCCCAGCAGCCCCCAACACCAGGGACCGCCACCTGAGTCTGTCCCACAGGTGTTTCCGCCACCCCAAGTCTTGCCTGCTTATAGCTTTTTAAAGCATTCTCACATTTACCACCTCTCTTCATCCTTTTAGGGAAACAGTACTGTAAAGAAGTTACGTATGCGGGATGTGGAGACAGAGAGACCAGGGTTCCAGTCCTAATTCCCAGCTGTCCGATTGTCTCTCCCCTCGGTCTCCTTTGCCAACCCAAGAGATACAACTGTCCCCACCTCCCAGGGCCAATAGGAGGAGTAACTGAAACAACCGAAGTCCTCAGCCCAGTGCCCGGATCTTAGTAAGGACAAAGTAAATGTCAGCCTGTACGATTATGAGCTTTTCCCCCTGCACTCATTTTACAGTTGATGAAGTCGAGACAAGGAGGGCTGCAAGGGGGCCAGGGTCACACAGAGACAGAACACACTGGACAGCTGCTTCAGTAACGGCAAATGAGGCCGTTCACAGCAACCCTCCCGCTGCAAGCAACCAGAAAAGCAGGCAGGGACGGATTACGGAGCCCAGATCCATCTGCCAATTCTGAAACACAGCTGGGAGAGCCTCTGTGGAGCCTCAGGGTGGCAGGGGCACAGAAATCCGAGGCCAAGGCTCATCTGGTAAGCCCCACAGGCAGGGACTGCCAAGGGCCACACCCTAAGGCTTAATAAACCAGCAGCAGGCCAGCCCACTGTCAACCCAGTCCCTGAAACTGAATTCCAGTGGTTCAGAACTGCCAGGCCCCTAGCCCCCTCCAGACACAAAGGTCAATTACACACGAAGAAAGATAATATCATCCAAGACCTCGTAGTATTTCTATAAATTTTCCTAATCAATACCTGAGCCCCTACTTCCGTGCTCAGGTGAAACACTGGGGCACAGAAATGAGAAAGAAGCTCTGGCCGGTTTGGCTCAGCGGTTAGAGCATTGGCCTGCGGTCCAGAGAGACCGGGGTTCAGTTCCCACTAAGGACATGTACTTCAGTTGCAGTTTGTCCCCAGCCCTGGTTGGGTTATGCGGGTGGCAGCCACTCTATGTGTCCCTTTCACATCAATGTCTCTCTCTCTCTCTCTCTCTTCTTCTTCTTCTCTCCCTCCCACTCTACCTGAACAAAAAATGGGAAAATGTCCTCGAGTGAGGATAAAAAAAAAAGAAAGAAATGGGAAAGAAATTAGCTACCACCGTCATAATAATAGCAGTTAGTGTTCATTATGTGCCTGCTACGAGCCAGGCATTGCTCTAGTGCTTTGCTTGTATTAACTTACTTAACGCTAAGAACAAACCCGTGAAGTTGGGGCCACCTGCCTCTACAGATGAGGGCACTGAAGCACTGAGTAATTAAGTGGTTTGACCTGGGTTATGTCGCTATTAACTGGTGATACAGTTACAGACATGCGTCCAAATTGAGCCCACTGGGAATTTCTAGAAAAAAAGAAACTTACTTCCCCTAATTAAATGGCTCAACATACTCTGACCCTCCCTTCCTCTTTCCTGCCTCTCCCATGCCACTAGAGGTATTTGGGGCTAAACCTGACCTTGAATCAGGATTTGAACAACCCAGTGGCAGTCACATGGAAGAGCAGAATCAGAGTCCTAGGCCACATTAACTGGACCCCGAAAGCCCAAGTCACTGATGATGTTTCAGACTCGACCTCAGTGACAATGTCCTTTGACCCGGCCTCTAAGAGTGGCCAAGACAAACTGGGCCAAAGACTGAAGGCCAGGACCAGGCAGGCCCCACCTAGCCGGAGAGTGGGTGGCTACCAACTGTTTTGCCTCGAAGAGCCATTCTTAGTAGTTAACTCCCAAACTCTGTATTTTGAAAGCATTTATCTACCTTTAATCAAACAGGCATAATAGTCCCCTGATGGTAGAAAGGGGCCCACACGGCTCCAGATAAAAGGAAAGTGGTCCAAGGACTTTAATAGCCACAACAATTCCCTAACCAAGGGTAGAGAACTTCTTGTTTGTTTGTTTGTTCAGAGAGAGTGGGAGGGAGAGAGAGAGAGAAACATCGACGTGAAAGGGACACAATGAGTGGTTGCCACCTGCACGACCCAACCAGGGCCGGGGACAAACTGCAACCAAGGTACATGCCTTTAGTGGGAACCGAACCCGGGTCTCTCTGGACTGCAGGCCGACGCTCTAACTGCTGAGCAGGTTACTGCTGAGCCAAACCGGCCAGGGCAAGAGTAGAGAACTTTTCCAAGTTTTGAAGATCCCTTCACAGACTACAGACTTGGGTCCTCCACGTGGGAGGTACCAGAGTCCTGAGTCTACCCCACACCAGTGATGGAGACAAGCCAGCTGTCCAAGGCCGGGCACTGGCCACCAGCAGTAAGCAGAACACCAGGGCTGCCAAAGGAGAGTGGCTCAAGGACTCAGCCAGGGCAGTGGGGAAAGGGGGGAGATGGTGGGGAGAAGGCCTGTTACAAGAATCAAAAGTGAAATGTGGCCCTGGCCGGTTTGCGTCAGCGGTTAGAGCGTCGGCCCACCGACCAAAGAGTCGTGGGTTCGATTCCTGTCAAGGGCACGTACCTCAGTTGCGGTTCGGTCCCGGCCCTGGTTGGGGTCGTGCGAGAGGCAACCAATTGATGTCTCTCTCTCATATCGATGTCTGTCTGTCTGTCTCTCTCTCTCCCCCTCCCACTCTATCTGAAGATAAATGGAAAAGTATCCCGGATGAGGATTAAAAACACAACAGTGAAATGTGTATGGCACACAAACAGGACGCAGACTCCAGCTCCAGGTCCTGGAGGCTGAGTGAGCGGTGGCTCAGAAACAGGCTAAGAAGGGCCCTCCTGCTCCTACTTGCCTTCTGCCTCCATGGATAATAACTTCTAGAAGGACCTTTTGGCAGGAGCCAGGCTGCCCCAGTCTTCTGGGGCAGGCCCAGGCACCCTCCCCAGGCAAATATCTGGGCAGCTCTGCCCAGCCAGCTCTCTTGTTCCCTGGGTGGAGTAACAGATGAGCATTCACTGTAAAACACTGTGTATAGGTTGCTTCATTTAATCCTCCCAATAACCTTCTGTGATAAGTATTATTATTATCCCCTTGTAGGATTCCCAACTAGGAAGCAGAGCCAGAATTCAAATACAGGTCTCAACGTCCAGCTCTGCAGATCAACCTGCCACTCCTCACACTGGGGCCTGCCTCCCAAGCGCTTCCCACACAGCTCCACCCTCCGCAGCCTCCCCACCACCCCTGCGGGCTGGCAGGGAGTGCTACTAACCCCATGTTACAGATGAGGCTCAGAGAACTGCAGTGACTTGCCCTGAACCACAGCTGATACGGAACAGGGCAGGGCTCCGAAGACCCAAGTGGCTGGGCCTCAGATGGTTGCACGTCAGAGGTCAACTCTCGGGCTATGCCTGAAAGTCTGGCTTCTGAGACTCCGGGAAGAAGTCCAGAGACACCCAGCTCAGATTGGGAGAAGGTGGCCAGGTGGGGGAGGGGCTGTGGCCAGAAAAATGCAAGGCCACCCAGGTCCTAGTGCCACTAAAAACCTCCCCCGGCCTCAGATCCGCTTTGACAACACAAAGACAGTCCTTGTTCTCCATGACAGTGCTGAGAATGACATCAGGGTACATTTTGGCGCTTGGACTGATATATAACAAATGGTTTGATTACACATTTTCATCCTCTGCCTTAAGTCTACAGGTGGAAGTTACAACCCCACACCACTGCAATCATCACAGACCCAGAAGGCCCCTTAGGAATCAACCTAGTCCCAACCTCCTCAGTTTACTGATAAGGACTTAGGCCCAGCGGCCAAATTCCGCTCATCACACAGCCAGGATGGAGGGTGCTATGGTGCCAGAGCGCTGGCTCTCCCTGCAGGTCATATCCAAGAATTCTTCGCCCTCACACAGCTCTCCCCCTCTAGGGGTCCTCCCTAGTCCCTGGAACTCTCCAGCTCTCCAAGACTCTAGCTCACATGACCTCAACCCTCCAGGAGCGTCCCAGCTCTGGACTCTGTCGACTTGGTTATGAGGCTGGTTCCCAGAGAGAAATGCAACGTGTGGAGTCAAATCGTCAGAGCCCAATGCCTGGTTGACCACTTACTGTGTTACTCAGGCTAAATTAACTCCTCTGGAAGTCCATCTCCTCAACTGAAAAATGAAAGTAATTACACCCACTTCCTGGGTGTTGTGAGGATTTAACGAGGGAACAGAGGGAACCTCCAGGGTTCATATTCGACGTTTGAAACCCTCTATTAACACCATCAGACAAGTACTAGGCTTAAGGCAAGCAACATCACCTGCTCCTTCTGCCCCATCTCAGGCTCTGCAAGGCTCATGCCTCCGCCCAGATGATCACAGGGGCGCCCTCTGCACAACCCAGCAGGCTCAGGCCGCCCCTCTGCGCCTTCCTCCGCCACCCCCTACCTCCAGGTCTGCGCTGGCCTGGCTCAGGGGCACAGGCGAGCAGGTCTTGTGCTCCACCAGGCAGACGTGACAGATGCACTCGCTGTGCTCGGGGCAGAAGAAGTCGCGTAGCCGGTTGTGCTGGGGGCACTTGCGGTGCAACAGGTCGTGGACGGGCGGCTGCAGCGAGTGGTCCCGGAAGGCGGGGCTGTCGAGGTGCGGCCGCAGGTGCTCCTCGCAGAAGGAGGCCATGCACACGAGGCACGTCTTGACGGCGGTCGCCTTCAGGCAGTGGTCGCAGGACACCTGGCCGGCGGGGCGGGGGTTGGCGGCGCGGGCGGGCGGCGTCCAGTCGTCGGGCGGCGTGGCGCGGGCCAGCTCGGCCTGCTGGAACTGCTCCACCACCGTGCACAGCACCGTGTTCTTGTGCAGCCGCGGCCGCTCCTGGAACTCGGCGCGGCACTGCGGACACTGGTACGGCGGGCCCTTGACGGTCCACGTCTCCCCCAGGCACGACCCGCAGAAGTTGTGGCCGCACGGGGTGGTGACCGGCACCTTGAAGAGCTCCAGGCAGATGGAGCAGGTCAGCTCTTCGGCCAGGGACATGTCCGCCATGGCGCTCCTCGGGGACCCACCGTCGTGCGCGGACTGGTCGTGCTACCCGATCGCCGAGGAAACGAAACTGAGCGGCGGGAGGGCGGTGCCCGCGGCCCCGGGAAGTCACGTGGGGCGGGGCGGGGCGGGGCCGGCGCTGGGCGTGACCGGGGAGCCGCGGTCCCGGGTCCGAGTCGGGACCGAGGGTGGCGGCGGGTCCCGGGTTATCCTCGCGGCCACTCGGGGCTCCCACGGCCACTCCGCGGATGGGAACCCGAGCGGCGGCGGGAGAACCGGGTCCAGCCCGGACCTAGTAGGTTCTGACTTGGAGGACTCACCTGGACCGCGAGTCCCCAGGGATCCGCCAGGGAGGCTCATCAGGACAGGACTTTAAAAAATAACCGTAGGAGCAGTTCAACGACTACCCCTTTTCCTTTATTATTATTATTTTGTTTTAATCCTTCCCTCCGTGTCCCTAATCCTGCGCTTTCCATTTCGGCTGGGTCCCCGAAGGTGGAGCCCAGAGCCACCTCCTCATGCTGAAACTGGGCACTTACTTTCCATCCCTCCCGATATAACAATTTTTTAAAAAAAATTTCCAGTTCTACTTGACTGGGGTTTGGTGGCGTCCTGGTTTAACAAAGGTTTTTCTCTCACACATATACTCACACAAAAATAGTGTTGGCACTTAAACGTTTTTTTCAAAATTGTTTATTTAGATGTAGTTCCATTCTTCTAGCTCTGTTTTCCCCCTCTGGCCAGGAAGTAGGAAACGTGAGTGCACAGGAGAGAAGAGTTGGACAGAGGAGATGGGGGACAAAAAGAAAGACAGTATTTAGAGAGAAGTTAGCTGGAGTTTGCACTGGGGACAGGGTGAGCTGAAAAAAATGAGGAAAAGGTCCGTGTCCTAGACTACTGCTAAAAGGAATAGCTGCCACTTACGGGGCACCTGCTGTGCGCTAGACAAGTCACCTATGTCAGCTCTTATCATTCTTATAATCTCTTCTAGCCTTTCTAAACCTTACAAGACAGAAGTCCTTATATCCATGTTCCAGAAGACGGTCACGTAGTTTATACAAAGTAAGACTGGGATGCTAGCTCAGGATTGCTCAACATTCTAATTCCTTATTGCCCTGTATCTATTCCTCCAGGCCTCACCGCCTCCTTTTCATATTTGCATTGTTGTGTTTTGCATGGGGAGGAGGACGACAGAAGATGAGGTGGGCAGGAAATTAAGATCTGTGCATAGTATTTCATTTAATTCTCACAACAAATTTATGGGTTAGGTATAATTATCTCATTATAGATGAGAAAACTGAGGCTTGAAGACACTTAATAATAACTTGCGTAAGACAATGGATATTGGCATCCAGGCTATTTGATTCCAGAGGGCAAGCATTTTCTACTATAAAATGCTGCCTCTCAAGGGGAGGGATGGAGCAGTTTCCTGGAAATAAACAGCATAAAATCCCCTATGACCTAGTTCTTGGGGTGAGGTGGCCTGGTGACTCATGCCAGAATGTTTGTGGAAAGAAGAAATTCCAGTTGTGGACAACTCTTGTCCAATAGTGCTTAGCCTGTCCTCCCAGATGGCCTGCCCAACCAGCCCCCACAATCATGTCTGGAAAGCAGCTTCCAATGCTTGAGATTCCTTTGTGATGTTCTTCTGAAAGGGCTTCATGAAGTCTTCAAAGTCCACCTCTAAGTGAACCCCTGCCTCTGCAGCTCTCTCTTCCTGATCAGCTCTGTGGTTGTGGCTTCAGGACTCCAGATCTTAAATAAATAACCACATGCAGAACAGCTGGAATTTAGCACTGATATTAAGTAGTTATTTGACAGTGTCCAGTCTGCAGCTCTCAATGGTTCTACTTAAAGGAGTTGAGTTGTTGATTGAAACTGCATCTATCATGGCTCCGGATTTAACTAAAAGCTCAACAATATCTTTTTTTTTTTAATCCTCACCTGAGGATATGTTTTTGTTTTTGTTTATTTTATAGAGAGTAGGAAGAGAGAGAGAGAGAGAAACATTGATTGGTTTCATCCCGACCGGGTACCGAACCCACAACCTAGGTAAGTGTCCTGACCAAGAATTGAACTCGAAACCTTTTGGTTTCAAGTTTCATCCAACCAGGCCTGCATGGCATGCAAAATGAAGCTGAATCCACAGAAAGTTAGCTGTTGCATTACCGTTAGCCCTAATAGATAAAGATAGATGCACAAGCTAAAAATATGGGTTGTTAGTTCCAACACTGGATGCTAAAAATACTAATTAAGGCTTCATAGAGTTTTATCAACTTGTTCACCTGTGAACCAAGGAAACTCTGAGTAAAGTTAAACTCTGTGTCATCATTTTTCTTGACAAGTATTCTGCATTATCCAGCAGTCTTAACTTTTGTGTATACAGAAACATTTTGTTTAGTTTTAAAAGGCACTTAAGGTCTTAGGGATTGTAATTTTGCAAAGGTTAAAATCAAGGAAAATTATAAAACTGAATCTAATGAAAATAAAAGCTGACAGGAAATATGAGTTGTTCCATTTTGTGTCTGTTTCTGCATGTTATGAATTTTTAAAATGCAGCTTCATTATTAAAATTCTAAGCACTATATTGTATTATTATTTTTTAATGTTTGTGGAATTCTGTTTCCCAGATAAGTCTAGAAGAACTGTTTAGACAGTACAAATGACTAGGAGGGGCATTCTTTATGTTTTTCAAATTCCATGTAGTAGATATTTACTAAGACCTAGTAGACTAAATTCATTCCATTGTGGTTAAAGCATATTATTTGTATTATTTCAATCTTTTAAAATGTATGGAGACTTGTTTTATTACCTGAATGTGGTCTATCTTGTTATTGGTTACTGCTTGAATGGCATCTCTTTTCCCATCCTTGTATTTTCTTTTTTTATATATATGTTTTGTTTTGGTTTTTTCCTATATATATGTTTTTATTGGTTTTTTAGAGAGACAGGAAGGAGAGGGACAGAGAGAAAGAAACATCGATGTAAAAATCATTGATTGTCTGCCTCCTGCACACCCCCAATGGGGATCAAGCCCGAAACCCAGGCATGTACCCTGACTGAGAATCAAACCTAGGACCTCTTGGTGCGTGGGATGATGCTCAACCACTGAGCCCCACCATGTGGGCAGTCCTTCTATTTTCTTAAGATTTTTATTTGCTTACTTTTAGAGAGAGAAAAAGAAACATCAATGTGAGAGCGAGACATTGATCAGCTGCCTTCTGCACACCTTCTACCAGGGATCCAGCCCACCACCTATGGGTCCATGGGATGACGCCCAACCAACGGAGCCACTCCAGCCAGGGCTCCATCCTTTTATTTTCAACCTATTTGTGGCTTTGCATCTGAAGTGTGGCACTTACAAACCATCTATATATAGTTGGATCATATTTTTAATGCATTCTACTTATCTTAGCCTTTTAATGGGAATATTTAATCCATTTACATTAAATTACTGATAAGGTAGGATTTATATCTGCCATTTGCTATATATTTTTGCCTTACATCTTTTCTGTTCTTCTCTATTATTGACTTCTCATTTTTTTATCCCTTTATTATTTCTTCAAGTATTCTTTCTGCCCTCCCTCTCTCGCCTGTCCTGTAGGAACTCTCATTATGTGTATGGTGGTATGCTTGTTGGCGTCCCACAGGTCTCTGAGGCTCAGTTCATTTTCTTTGTTGTTTTTCCTTTCTGTTTCACAGAGTGGATCATCTCCGTTGACCTCTAGTCAGATTCACCAACTAGTTCTTCTGCCTGTTCAAATCTGCTGTCAAACCCCTTGAGTGAGTTTTTTATTTTGATTATTGTACACTTCAACTCCTGAACTTATATTGGATTCTTTTTAAGAAATAATAATTTGTATTTTCTTACTGATCTTCTCTATTTAGAGAGACATTATTCTCAGACTTTCCTTTATTTCTTTGGACATAGTTCCGTAAGGTTCTTTGAACGTATTTAAAATAGCTGATTTAGCCTTGGCCAGTTTGGCTCAGCCGACAGAGCATCGGCCTGCAGTCCAGAGAGACCCGGGTTCGGTTCTTGCTAAGGGCATGTACCTCAGTTGCAGTTTGTCCCTGGTCCTGGTTGGTCGTGCAGGTGGCAGCCACTCGATGTGTCCCTTTCACATGGATGTTTCCCTCTCTCTCTCTCTTCCTCTCTCTCCTTCCCACTCTACCTGAACAAAAAATGGAGAATTGTCCTCGGGGGAGGATTAAATAAATAAATTAAATAGCCGATTTAAAGTTTTTGTCTATAAGTCCAATACCTGTATTTCCTCAGGAGCAATGTCTGTTGATTTTTTTCTCATATGGGTCATTCTTTCTTGTTTCTTTGTATGTATCATTTCTTTTTTGTTCAAAACCTGATATTTAAAATAACACAATGTGGCCCTGGCCTGTTTGGCTCAGTAGTTAGAGCGTCAGCTGCAGACTGAAGGGTCTCAGGTTTGATTCCCGGTCAAGGGCACGTACCTAGGTAGCAGGTTCGATGCCCAGCCCCGTTAAGGGTCATTAGGGAGGCAACCAATCGATATGTGTCTCTCACATCTGTGTGTGTCTCTCTCTCACCCTCTCTCCCTTCCACTCTATCTAAAAATATCAATGGAGCCCTGGCCAGTTTGGCTCAGCGGTTAGAGTGTCAGCCCGCAGACCAAAAAGTCCTGGGTTTGATTCTGGCCAAGGGCATGCACCTTGGTTGCAGTTTATCCCGGGTCCCAGTGGGGGTCATGTGGGTGGCAACCAGTTGATGTGTCTCTCTTACATCAATGTTTCTCTCGTGCGCACTCTCTCTCTCCCTCCCACTCTGTCTGAAGATAAATGTAAAAATATCCTCAGGTGAGGATTAAAAAATAATAATAATTATATTATATGTGTATATATATACATATATACATATATATGTACATATCAGTGGAAAAATATCAGGTGAGGATTAACAAAAAATAAATAAAATAAAATTACACAGTGTGGCACAGTGGACATCAGTTTTTGTGGCTTTTTTTGTTCTTGTTTGTTTAGTGACTTTTCTGACTTAAATCCATGAAGTCTGTAT